TGGTTCTGCTGGAGGTTTCTTCCTGTTCAAAGGGAGTTTTTCTTCTCCACTGTCGCTACAAGCATGCTTAGTGTGAGGGTTTGCCTTCAAGTCAATGAGTCGATGCAATCAACTGGTTTTCCTTGAATAGAAAACTTTGAATCAGTTTGACTGTATGACCTGGTGAACTGTAGAGTGCCTTGAGATTAATTTTATATCATTTCTTTCCTGGCAAGTAAGATATATGTTTAGCATTGCCAAGAGAGCAGCTGAAATCAAAGTTTGCTCGACCAGTTAATGCATGGGCGGTTGTCTTCTCTCTAGACTCTAAATCTGTCGCTATAAGAAGCTTGTCAAAGTGAACGTCTTCTGTATGGAGAGTGACAAGAACGAGGAGAAGCTGAAAGTCCCAACGGAAGCACTTAGCCTGTGGAGCCTTTGATGGGATTATGGGATAGCCAAATGCTAAGGCTAACCATTTGCCAGCCGGTGGCACGATCCGAGCATCATGTCATTTGCGCAACCAGACATACATCCACCCTGGATTTCAATTTTTAAAAAGACCGTACCATCAGTTACATTTTTTCATTGCATTATATCATTACATTTTTCCCTCCTTTAAAATTCTAAGCATACTAAACTGTAAAGTGTTAAAGGTTGATAATGTATTTCCCGATAAAATAAATGCATTTAAATCCTTTCTGTTTTATTACTCGTCTGTGTCGGAAATAGGATCCTATGCTACTTCCAGTAGCTAACTTTTTCGGCTTAGGATTTAAACAGAAATCTAGTCTTTTTGAGTTTTATTTTTTCTTTTTTTGTTTACCTTATGGTATATTGTGCCTAATCTAAAGAAAAAACTAACTAAAATGCAGATAAACATGGTTTAATCATATTTTGCCAGATTTCTCTGAGCATGTCCGATGATGACGTCAGACAAGCTGTTTAACGGAGATGTTTTAAAGATTTGTATTAGCATTTCTTAGTGATTTAAGGACAGAAATAAGTACTTTTAGTAGCATAATTACATTTCTTATTGCGACCTGGATGAATATGTGCTTGTACATGAGCTGCTGAACCGATGGTACGGATCGTGCTTCCGGTACGGATCGTGCTTCCGGTACGGATCGTGCTTCCGGTATGGATCGGGTAGTGACTAATGGGATAGCAAAATGCCAATGCTAACTTTTTGCTGACCAGACAACCAGCTGGCAAACAGTACAGCCAAAAGTTTGGAACAGTGATTGAGCTCAAGTGCACCACCTACTGGCTGAGAGGAGTTAAACTAGTTGCTTTCATTAAGAACTGAACATTACAGTCACTGAATGTAAATATTTCTGCTTTTCCTTCTGCTGCTCAGAAATTTGTTGAAATTCTCTAGAGAGCTTTGTTCTAACTAATGAACATGATGGTTGTAATAATCTGGATTTTATGCCTGTTGAAATGAAAATGTATGTCATAAAATTTTAATGTGATCTAGGCAGGAAAGGCTGAGGCTAGTTTGATAAAGTTTTTTGCATTTAACTGAAATACTTAACTGATCTGAAATAGTGTATATTTATCAACTGGAAGTTCAAACGTATTTTTGTAAAATTGCAACCAGGCAAAAACCTCATCAACAGGACAGTGGTGTTCTTCATAGATCTTTCCAGTTTTTTATAATTGAATTACTAAAAAAAAAGTAGATTTCCAATGTTTTCATGCCCAGACCAATGATAATGAGTCATTGGTCTTATTCCATCATAATTTCCATACGTTGGGTTGAAACGGTAAAACCTCTGTTTTTGGATACAATTACATGACAATTCCTTGTCCTTAGCCCTGACAAAAGGTGAAGTTTTAAGGCCTCTACTTACATTACAATGAATAAAGTACATATTTTAACATTCAAGTTACAGACAGAATCAAAGGGAAACCAGAAACAAACAAGTTTTGGTAAGAACCGTGTTAACATTTACATTTCAGTAGCTTATTCAATAAACATTAAAGTGACAAAACCTCTTAAATGAACCTAAAGTAGCAGATAATCGAGCCTTTGACAAACAAATGTACACAATTATTTCTAACAAACAGTGGCTTCAGTTCAGTCTGGGAAACCCCAACATACATTTTGTTTCCTTCAAAGCACAGAAACATTTCCATACACAACCTGCTGACCTGCTACAAAGGAATTTTAGTGGATGTTAAGAAAATCCTACCAACTTTTAATTTAATACCAAACAAAGGTTAGTCAGTTAGTTATAAAAAAAAAAAAAAAGGAAAGTGAACAGATGACAGTTTAGAACTCATTGGGCTTTATCCTAGCTAGTCTGCCTGTCAGACATTCATAGTATTTGGTACAGGAAATGTCTTCTCGACTGTAACAGGAATAGCACACCCAAAACATGATTAGCCTTCATTTTCTACTCACCCCCATGCTGAACAACACTCTGGAGTACTTTTTTGATATCTCAAATGCATCTGGAGATCTGGGAGGCTTCTTACTGTCTGCTGACATTCAAATAATGGAGGTCTATGGAGCCCGAGGCAGAAAGGTCCATAAAAGTCCACAAAAAACGTGTCAATATTCCTCCATACTGCTCGTCCAATGTATTCCAAGTGTCCTGAGTGGGTAGCGTCCATAATTTACCCGAAACGAAGTCATTTAGAATGTTTTTAGAGCATAAACAGTAGTGTATAGGACTTCCTAAAAGCGCGTTCAGGACGCTACGGAAACCGCGGCAGACCAAACCAGATGAAAGTGCGCATTCAGCGTCTGCTCTGCCAATAATGCAAGTGTAGAAGAAGAAATGTGCTGTTTACCTGTGCAAAGAAAGAAACAGCGAAAGAAAAATGTCTGAGGACTTCAGTGTTGAGGAAGAGCATGAGTTCTTTGCCGAGCTGAATGCGCACTTTCATCCGGTTTGGTCTGCCGCGGTTTCCGTAGACTCGTGAACGCGCTTTTAGGAAATCCTATACACTACTGTTTATGCTCTAAAAACATTCTAAATGACTTTGTTTCGAGTAAATTATGGACGCTACCCACTCAGGACACTTGGAATACATTGGACGAGCAGTATGGAGGAATATTGACGCGTTTTTTGTGGACTTTTATGGACCTTTCTGCCTCGTGCACAATAGACCTCCATTATTTGAATGTCAGCAGACAGCAAGAAGCCTCCCAGATCTCCAGATGCATTTGAGATATCAAAAAAGTACTCCAGAGTGTTGTTCAGCATGGGGGTGAGTAGAAAATGAAGGCTAATCATGTTTTGGGTGTACTATTCCTTTAATAACAATAAATCACACAAAACGACAAACATATTCCCTGGGTCATATGGAAGTTATTTCCTGTAAAATGTAAATAAAAATCCCTTTATTGTCTCACAATGGGGAAATTCGTTCTCTGTATATTGACCCGTCCCCTTGGGGAGCAGTGGGCAGCCATTGTGTGGCACCCAGGGTTAAGATTTTTGTTCAGGAACCCAAAATGCAGGCTGTGGGGATTGAACCGGGTACTTTCTCAGGTCACAAGCACACTGCTCTAACCCACTAGGCCAACACTCTCGCTGTAAAGATGTTTACAGTATATTCATTCATTCCCACAAGCATGTGAGTGGAGTTATCTTACTGTCGGCGTCACATCAATTGTAACACTGTTAAATATCTTATTAAATCTCATCAAAACCGGTTAGCTAGAATTTGCTTTGGTACACAGTGTGTTTTGTTTTGAATATGTTTAGGCAGTCCATAAATTTATAAGCTAGTGGAGAACTTTACATGGCTTTTTAAAGTATATAAAACTGATTAAATGGAAATTAATATCATTAGTTTGATTTGTTTGTATTATCTGTGAATACCCCAAAAGCTGGATGTTTTATTGTTTAAAAATGCAACAAACCTGCCTTGAAACTGCCTTTATATCTCTGAAACATGGCTACTGGCAAAAAAGAGGCCGGTTTTGCAAGGTATTATAAAACTAATTTGTATTAGAGGTATTCAGCTAGTGATTTTGTGATGATTAAATGATAACAGTAAAAGTCTATATGTATGGCCTTCTGTTCCTTTTGTTTTATATCAACAAAAATCAGATGAAACCTAAACATCTGAAGTGAGAAACTAAATAAAGATGCTACGTAAAAATGTTCCTCAAATCAAAAGGGTTCTTCTTTAAGTTCCTCTTCCGATCCCCCCCTGGGCAGCTTATAGCTCAGAAATGTCATCAGCTTTTCTAACCTTATCATGCAGATGCTACCAGCTAACACCAGCCACAGAGAAGAAAACCAGACAAACTGCTGAGGGTTTCAATCGCCAACCTCCATCGTTGTGTTTCAACATTTATGAACAAAGTCAAGACAGCTTTACTTTGGCTCATGCCAAAAGACGCAAACAGTGATTATATCTACATAAAAAAACATTACAGATCTTAAAGTGCCTAAATATATGATCTTTGCTGTTTAATAACATATCTCTACAGCTTGCACCTTATGCTCCCTTTAGGTTCATCCTTTTTCTCCGTCCTCTGTCGAAGTCTGTAACACCTGACGTCATTCCAGACACATCCTTTGTTTGATGCCGCAAAGAACATTTCATGCTCTCTTTCTCGCTCTCCTTTTCCTCCCTCTGGTTTTCAGTTCAAGCATGGCTAATCACCAGGTGGCTTGGCTTTCACTGGATCAAGGCTTTAATTTCAAATGAAAGGGACGCTGCTCTGCACAGCCTGAACCCTGCTGTTAGATGATGGGGGATATTTCTGCTGTCCACTCATGATGGGCCGTGCCCAAAGGTAACTGAGGAAGAGGAAGAAGACACATGCTGGTAGAATTTGGCACAACAAAAACTGTTATTCACCAAATATTGAGAGGAATGTTTACAATCCTGCTGAAGGGCGCTCTGAAGCTGGGGGCATCGGTCTTGTCTTCAGCTTTTGTCCGGGGGGGGTCTTAGCAATTTCTCTCCATAACACTGACCTCTACATTCAGTGTGCCCTACACAACAAAATATGAAAATGAACAACCTAAATCAACTTAAACCCAAACTCTCCATCTGCCCGTTTTACACTGTGTTCATTTTCTTCCCTTTAAGGCCTCAACAAGATTTAAATGTGCTAATATCATGCATTTAACACGAGCTACTTTAAATTTAAATCATACTCTGACAGAATACATTTCATGCTTAAAATCTAATTCAGTGTTCTTATCGTTCCTATCATGTTCAGTTTCTGTACGAGGAAAGATTCTGGATGATGGCTGTCATTGCAAGCGTTGATTTTAATCTTTCTTTGCTGCAATTATCTTTGACTGCATAGGCATTGAAACCCAAATAAATCCAAACCAAATCTGTTTGTAAAAGAGCGAGCTACAACGAAGCCTCTATTTGTTACCAGCAAGGATTGATATTTCTCTTAATGTCAAACACAACAACCTAACAGACTGAAAAGCACTTCAGATAACATGTGGCTTAAAATTCAGGAAAACATCAGTAGATTTCAAACCGTTTTTGGGGGATTTGAACGATTAAGCCCTATCAAACAGGTCCACAGATAAAGCAGTGAAATCTGAAGTTGCAGCTAAATGCTCTGATAGAACCATGTTCACAGCCAGCAGCAGCTTTAGATTCAGATCTGGATCCTTTCAAAACATACAACAGCTTTAATCCATGTATTAAACTGACAGCTAAGGGGTGGAACAATAATCGACTGATCAGCAATACACAGAAAGAAAAAGGAAAACAGCTTATGCTGCATGGCTGAACCCAGTGTTTTTAGTATGTTGCAACACATAACTAAGACCTTTTTTTTGTCCTGTTGCATACACAGCTATTGACAGGAACTGGTTGGTTAAACAATGTTGTGGACCGATCCTGACTTCCATTGGGTGAATGGACAGATTTTCCTCAGTCGCTAATGAGGATATGGAAAGACAACAAGGAGTCCTGGGAATGAAAGTGGAATGTAGGCTGCAAAGGAGGCGGGAAGATGAAGCCGACCGGAGCCTGGAGCATCCCAATAGGATGCGATCAATGTCGGCAGCATCGCTCTGCTTTGAAGTGTCCTCATTAAGGTTTTTTTTCCATCAGAGATCTGAAGAGAGTGAAACTTCCCTGTGAGTGTGAAGGATGGTCGGTTACAACAACAAAAGAAATGTGGCTCCCATGAGTCCCAGGAAACAATCTGATCTGATTCAGAAACAATCATACATTTCCATTTGACGCAGGTTTAACGGCTCGGTTGGCACAGTCATTTTTTTTTTTAGGTATGATTATTCCCACGTGTGGACAAACTCGTAAAAGTGCTTTTGAGCGTAAATCCTGATCCAATGGAAGTACTGTGTGGCTGACCCACTTACAGAGCTACGGCGTTTAAGAAAATGTTATATCTTAAGATTCAGTTCAACAGTCGAATCTGAGTAACAACATCCAAATTAATGGTTTTCATCACGAGACTTAGGATCGCTCACAACAGGGTCCGATGGTGCTCTCCAGCGACATCTGAGATGAGTGGCGGATGAGTGGCGCCATCGTAGGATCCACCATAGAGGAGGTAGGGAACAACCTGTACCAGCCAATCACCATTGTGCTGAGGTCAAGCTCCTCCAACAGAATTCGGGCTACGCCCATGAAGCTTTTGCGGTCCATTCGTCCGTAGTTTCCCCAAACAATCACCTAAAATAGAAAACAAGAGGATAAAGACAGCTGCATGACGTTATACTACTTAAAAGTATTGAAATGCTGTTATGGCCATGGTCTGGGAGAATACTCCATTGTGATTGGCTCC